CAAAAGATTTTAAACTTAACTTTTCTTGTGTTGCCTTTTTTGCGGACCAGCAAATTTCCATTTGTCGGGTCACTGAAGTCGACACTTACAACTGACATACCACATAGTTGCACAATTAACATTCCGGACTTTGAGGGCCAGTATTTCATAGGGTTAGCTACTTTGACTCCTTACGATCTTGCTACAATACGAAAGGCGCAAACACGCATAATCGCACCGGCCCGCCTGGTGCGTTCCAGCCTGGGTTTTAAATTAATTTCTCGAAATGGTACGGATTTTAAAAGTTACAGACATTTACTTAAGTTCTCTCAAAAAATAGTACGGATTTTAAATGTTATAATATTTATCATATTATTAAGGCTGTTTGGACGATCTCTCTGGTGTTGTTTCTCACTGTCTGTGCTTACAGCTGAGGGATGAAACATATCGCTAGTTTATAACAAATACAGGCTAGCACCTATATGACGGCTAAATTTCATGCCGGGACGTTTCAGATAACCTAAAAATGGCCGTTACTCATCGCTCCTTGGTTCGTATATCTCGCTCCATTTCTGTGAATCTCCTCGCCCCGATGATCTCACAAGCATCCTCTTCCAATCTCCCGGTGTCACGGTTGCGATTAGTGCGATTATCTCTAACAGTGCCACTGAAAACCCACAAAGCTGAATTAAAATTGCAGTTCCGCGCTGGTCCTATATAAGCCTTTCGACTGTTCCGGGGTCAGATAACTTATTCCGTGTCATCTCCATGATAGTGCTATTGCTGGGATGTAATTTCGTGCTGAAAGCAGAAACAGCCTGAGAAACGCAGTGGTAATTTGGAGTTTGACAAGTGCACGTTTTGTCATTTTTCTCCGCTCCCCATAGAGTTATATTATGTGTTTAAAGCCCCGGTACTGTTGAGTCAACCGCGTCTCAAAGCTAGGATATTTTTGAATGGAAAAACTGGGTCCAGGCGGAGGAAGTTGTTACACCAAAAACGCCTTCGAATCTTCTCTGAAATTTTATAACTTTTAATTTTGAATGGTATTTTGCTGCAGGAAATGCAGCATGAAAGTGACATGGATACAAGATTGGTCCGCGGTTTGGTGCTCGATCACGGTGGCCGCCATCCCGATATGCCGAAAACTCTTCGGAATGCCTACATCTTGACATGCAGCGTGTCGCTGGAGTATGAGAAGACGTGAGAACATTTCTTTATATCATTCTGGCCAATGTAATATTTTTATGTATTTTGGCCACCTGTTAGCTTTTAAACGCTCATGCATTCTCTTGCTCAATCATAAACTTCTACCTTTTTTCTTCTCCCGTCGCATCATGTAGTGCATACTTTTCTTTGCTGAGTTTTAGTTTTTTTAATCACAAATTTCATATCCCTGGATGCATTGTGTACAGCCTGGGTAGGTGACCCAGTAATTGATTTGATTTGTTTGTAATTTTTGCATTGGACCAGTTTTTCACAGGGTCCTTTTCAGTGAAGTGAATTCTGGCTTCTTTTACAAGTCCGCTGCTGAACGCGAACGACTCGTTAGTTCCGAGAGAGAGTTCATTATGCGACGAGTTCAGAAGATTGTCGATTTAAAGAAGAAAGTTTGCGATGATGCAGAAAAAATGGATGGGAAAAAGCGTGGTTTTGTGGTCATCAATCAAAAGGTTTGATTTTTTTTTTCGATGGTTGTAAATGTGTGAATTGGGATTTTCAGCTGGTTTAAGGAAAATAAATAACGATGAGCAGCGGGTGCGATCTTGTGTTTTTTGCAATTCTCTCAACCGAACAATTGCTTGCTAATGATTTCACTGCTTTGCACTTTGATCTGTGCAAAAATAGTTGAAATGTTAAGAAATATTTAAAAATTTTTTAAACATTTACGTGAAAGCTGAATTTGAAATCTCGAAGTGTGAATATCCTTCCAAAATTGCAGTCTCCTAATTTTCTGGCTTTCGAATGATCACTAAGATAAAGCGTCGTATTCGAAACCTCGGCATAATTAGGAACTGAATTTGAATATGTCAAGCCCTGCTTAAGTAAGAAATATTCTCCTGAAATTTTCAGCCTTCTAACTCTTCTGGTTTCCGAGATAATGATTTTTCTCGTCAAAACTTCCGCGAGGACGTTGAAAATTTGCGGGGTTGTACGTGGACTGGGGATTTACGTTGAGTTTTTGCATTTTACGAGACAGTTTCCCTGCCAAAACTTCACGGTGTCGTAAGTGATACCTAGGGATGCGTGGGGGCTGGATCTAAATTCGCGGGGTCGCTTA